AAAGAAAGAAAGAGGAAGGAAAGAAAGAGTGGATAGGCTCTAGGATCTGGACTGGACTTGCACTTAGAATCTGGACTTGGATAACCTAAGGTCAGGTTCTGCCATGTATTAAGCAATGTGGATAATAATGGCACCCACAGCTCACAAAATTGCATATGTAAACACTTTGTAAACTATAAAGCATTTTGAGCCCTGGAGGGCAGTGGGGATGGGACCATCAGGCCTCAGGCAGCTTCTCATCTCAGTGCTCAGCTCAAGACCTGGCACCCAGTAAATGTCCCGTAAGTGTTTGCTGAGTGAATGGATAAACAAGTAATTATCATCATCCTTCTAACTTGACCATCAGCTTTGCAGAAGAAAAACAGGCAGATGCTGTTGGACCCTGATTCAGCTTTTGTGAGCTGAGGCCTCACAAATGAGCCTGCTTTTTTTTTTTTTTTTTTTCCCTGTTAGCGCTTTTGACGTTTTCATTTTAATATGTGAAACCTGGCTACTTGTCTCAGGGAGAGTTTATGGAAAAAAAGCTTCCAGCTGGCTTTGGGCAGCCCATAAAAATGTACTGAAATGTCTAACTTTGACCAGTTAGAAATTAGGATCTGTTGGGGGATGGAGACCGGTGACGCCACTCGCCCTGGTGAGGCCACTGAATTTCAGTAATTAGCTCTCTGGGCAAGAGGACGCGCTCCTAATTCCTTCCTGGTTCCGAGTTAAAGGATGAGGCCCTGAATCTGTTAAAGAGAAACCACAGCTTTCAGATAACAAACACATCTTTAACACACGCAATCTTTGATTCAAATAGTTTCAAAGGGCATGGGGGAGGGAAGGGTTTTTGCGAGCTTTAACTGAAGCAGCTCATCAGAATGTCAGCTCTCCAAATCCTATCCCTCCCTCAGCTCAAGTCTGACCTCCTCCAGGAAGCCCTCCTTGGTAACCCCAGCCCATCACAGGTTTGTTCATCCACATGACTCCTTGCTTTAAAACTCTCCAGAGGGTCTGCCTAGCTTCATGGTCAAGTTCAATCTCCTTAGTTTGGCATACAAGGCCCTTTGTGGTGTGACACCTTCTCACCTGTGTAGCCTCTTCTTCTACTCCCCACCCACACCCTTTGACCCAGGTGTGACAAACAACCTCCACCCTTCTGCCTGGAATTTGGGCCTCAGAGCCTTGGACTGTGTCTTTGCCTTGGTGGGGATTTTCCTTCCTCTTCTTCATGTGGTTGGATGGTCCTTATTCCCAGAACTCACCCCCGGCCTCTCCTGCAGGGGTAGGGAGAGACTGAGCCCCCGGGGCTGGGTTAGGTATCCCTGCTCATGCCCCAGAGCGCCCAGGTTTCTGCTCATCACACTTACGGTAAGGATCTATTTACTCACCTGCCTCTCCCCTCCTCTCCCCTTCCTTCTCCTCTCCTTCCCTCCCCTCCCCTCCCTGAGGAACTTGGTCCAGCTACAGCCGATATCTAGAGAAGGTATTGGCCTAGAGAGCCCTGCTCAATCTTAAGCCCTCCCACCTGAAGTACTCTGGGATCACCCCAGGAAGTTTAGCATGCTGATGCCCGTGTTCTCATCTTCAGAGATTCTGGTTTGATTGGCCTGGATGTGGCCTAGGCATGGGGTGAGGAGTGTGGGTTGAAAAGCTGGTTCTAAGGTGTAGCCCAGTTGGAGCGCCACCATAATTTACAGCACGTGACTCAAGACCCACCCAGCCACTTAGAGGAGCTGCACTCCAGGCACTTCGGGGAGTATAACCTTGAACTCAGAACCCCACCATATTTGCCATATTTGTTGTGTTGGAAGAAAACTATTCATCTGTTTATCTGAGTCAGCAGCACTGAGCAGCTGTACAGTCCCCCACAGGCCCCACCCAGTCTTCCGTGCTTGTTAGGAGAAACAGAAGCATCACAGTCACCAGTTAGAAGGATGCCTGGCAGAGCCGCATCCCAAATTCAAGGAGCCAGACGGGGGACCCTGTGCTATAAACAAATCTCCTGGTGATCCTCCTGCACACAAATGTGCCAGGGCTCAAAACATCCTAAAACAGGCTGCAAACTCCCGATGCCTTGCAGACCCAGGTAGGAAAGTTCAAAGCAAAGAAGGGCCTTCAGGGGACCATCGGGGGACTGGAAAATGACTGGCTCTAGCAAATTCTTGTCCTTTGGGAATGTGGGCCCCATGTTGTCAAGTCCCTCTTTTTTAAAAAAGAGAATGCCAAAAATCTGAATTTTTAAAAAGGTGAAACTTGTTTAAAGTTGACAACTAATTCAAGCCATTTAAGTACAAAGCTCAGGCCAAACAAAACTTACCTGGGACCTGAATTTAGCATTTATTACCAATGTTTGCCGCAAACGCCACACGTGGATGAAGCTAGAGGGTGGTGTGCTTGCCTGGCCTTGTCGAGGCTCTCTCTTTTCTGAGCTGTTTTTCTGCTATGGGACTTGGGCCAGCACGGAGTGGTGTGGGGATGGGGGGGTGTTGGGGGGCGGTACAGGAAACAGCCCCTAAGACTTGTGCCATACGTGCAATTGGGAGGCTGTTTGGGGACATTGTTCCTTATGTTTAACAGTGTTCTCTTCATGCCAACTCTCTAAAAAAAATACCTCTCGGGTCTCAGGCCTAATAGAGTTTTGAGTTGCCTCAGCAATGGTGTGCCAGTGTCTTATGGGCACTGAATTGCGTGGGATCAAGTTTCAGCTGCTAGAAAGGTCAGAGGACAATCTGCGGCCTGTCCCCATGGCACATAGGACCTCAAGGTCTGCACTTGTATACCTGTCATTCCTGGGTTCTTCTGACCTTTCCAACTTCTATTTTTCATTTGATGCTTGTCACATGACCACTCCTGTAAAATTTTATTCTTGTATATCAAATAAAGAAGTTAAGTGCTTTCTGAAATAAGGCATGCTATAAATAAATAAGCCCATAAAAATAGTAAGTGCTCAAAAAAGGGTTATTGAATACATGACTACTTGAATGATTCATTTTGTGGTTGCACACAGGGCCTTGCACAGAGCAGGTGTTCAGGAAATGAGGGCAGGATGGTAGAGTGGAAAGCAGCGGTTTAGAGATGGAGAGACAATAGCCCTGCCATTTCCTAGCGACTGGGACTTTAGCCAAGCTGTTTAACTTCTCTTAGCCTCAGTTTCCTCATCTGTACAATGGGGACAATCTCAGTGCCACCTTCTCAACGTTGCTGGGAGGATTGGGTAAGATGATGTAATGTGCCTGGCATGTAACAGGCACTTAATAAGTGGCAGCTGTGATTATTTCAACACCAGAAATACCCTCATCTATGAATGTCATTGTTAAATGACTTAGTAAATGCAGTAATGTGTGCAACATAAGTGAGGACACTCTCCCTTTGCTCAAGTCAGCTAGAGTGTAACAGAGAAGCCACATGGACTCATTGGGTCAATAAAATGGGAGGCCTTCCAGAAGCTCTTGATTCCCTCAGAGCTCCTTGTCCCAGGTCTCTGCTCCCCTCCACACCAGGGCCCCTCTGATTACAGCAGTGATGGCAGATAGCTCCCTGTCCGAGTGTGACCGCCCCATCACTCCCCTCTCAGCATGCTCATGTGCTGAAGACGCTGTCCTGCCTGCCCCCATCATCCGACTCTCTAGCCCTAGCCCTGTACATTCCCTTTCTGGAAGCCTCTGGCAGTTTTCTGCAAGCTTCCCAGTCCCTTCCCCAGCCCTGACTGATCCCTCTCCTGGTCACCACTTAAGTGAGCAAATTCGTCTTTGAACTGTTCCATGACCTTTTGCTTGACAGGTGCACACATGCTTTAGAAAGTGCATGTCACGCGGTGCACAGGAGGGGCGCTCAGAGATGACTGAAGGTAGTGTCTGGGGCTCACTCCTCTGAGGGTTGGACACCAGGCAGAAAGTCAGGAATGCGACTCTCCAGTATTGTTACAGGGGAGAAAATACATCATATAGATCCCTGCGATGGAAGGTGGTCTATGATGAGTTGTAGGTTTCCCTAAGGGCCTAAAATTTATTCACAAGAGGCACTATTGCGTAGAGCAGTGGTTCTCAAAGTGTAGCTCCAGACCTGGAGCATCAGCCTAGACTGGGAGCGTCTTATAAATGCAAAATCTCCAGCCTCACTCCAGAACTACTGACTCAAACGATGTGGGGCCCACCCAGCGCTCCCAGTTTTCACAAGCCCAGGGGTGATCCCATGCAAGGCCGGTTTTTGGACCACTGGAGTGGTGGATTCATTCTAAACCCGTCACCTCATCTGTCAACAGGGACGACCCTCATCATGGCGTGGCTTCTGGAAGGGCCACGAGATGAACGTGGGAAGCCTGCCTGGCATGTGGCTGGTGCTGAGCCACCATCCCCGGCGACCGATCACCCACTACCTTTGGAGGGTCAGCTACCGCCTGGCGCTGTTCTGTGTCAGTCATGGAACCCAAGATAAGAGCTCCAGCAAAAAGGAGAAACAGGATGAAGATCAGGGAAAGCTGATTTGAAACTTAGGCTGGGGCCCTGAATGCCAACCTTAGGACCTCTCTTTGCCTCTGCCTGCGGCGGAGGCTCACGTTTCCATTACTTTTCTGTAATACAACAAAGCAACGGAATCCTTGGGATTCCGGTCATCCCGGGGGCACCTCCCGGGTCCACGGCGGGGCAAGTGCTTCTTCCACGATGCCCCCAACCTGCCTCTTCTGCTTTGGCCGCGCTCCCGCGAAGGCCGCGGCGGGAGGCCCCTGATAGGGCGGGCAGGGCCAGGCTGCCAAGAGAAGGCCGGGCGCGGGCCAGGAGCCGGCGCCTACGAGCCAGGGCAGCCCCGCGCGTTTGGAATGCGAGCGCCGCTCAATGCGTTCCATATGGCGGCGGCGCGGGCCCACCCGGCCACCCGCGGCTCCCCAGCCGGGCGCCTGCCCCACAGGTTCTTGTGGGTCTCCCCGACCCGCCTGGACGCTGGGATGGGGACCACGGATTACCATGACTAGCACAGTGCCGGGCACGTAGGACGCATCCGGAGGCTTTGATGAATGAATGCTAAATACACGATTACGGTAGAAGGCGTAAGAGCGTGGGCTCCTTAAATAACCCAGCACACAGTCCCCCAGCCTCGGCTCCACCAAACATTGCTGGGAGCCTGCCATGGGTGAGGACCTTCTTTTCTATCTGTGTAATCCCAGTGCCAGGTCCCCGACTGGTCAGGGACTTTGTTCTCCAGCTTTGCTCAAGATGACAGTTGGGCTCAGAGCTGGTGACGTGACTTGCCCAAAGTCACACAGGTAGCAAGGAGCAAGTCGGGATTTGAATCCAGGTTAAAGGACTCCACCTCCAGTACTCTCTTTCTACCCCAACTCCAGAGGGAGGGGACCCTGCTGAAACCTTAATCTACCCTGGCCTCCCTGGAAGCTTTTCTCACTGGAATCCCAGAGTTAAAGGACAGAACTGTCCCCTTAATCCTGGGTGCGGTGGCTGATGCCAGTAATCCTGCCACTTAGGGATGGAGAGGTGGGAGGATGGCTTGAGCCTGAGTTCGAGACCAGCCTGTGCAACATAGCAAGACCCTGTCTCAAAAAAATACAAAAATATGCCAGGGTGACAAAGAGAAACTCTACCTCAAAAGAAAAAAATAAGATAAAATAAGAAAACAAAAAACAAAAACCCCAAAACAAAGCAGAGAAACCCCCTCCCCCCAAAGTAAGCTCTACTCTGCCTCTCCCAGGGTTTTGAGCTTCAGATTTAAGGACAAGTGATTGCCTTAAAGAGAAGTCTGCGACTTTCATGTTGCATTTATCTAATTAGCTATAATGACTTTTTTTTTTTTTTTGAGTCAAGGTCTCACTCTGTCACCAAGGCTGGAGTGCAGTGATGCTATCTTGGCTCACTGCAGTCTCAACCTCCTGGGCTCAAGTGATTCTCCTGCCTCAGCCTCTCGAGTAGCTGGGACTACAGGCATGCACCACAATGTCCAGCTAATTTTTTTGTATTTTTAGTACAGAGGGGGTTTCACCATGTTGGCCAGGCTGGTCTTGAACTCCTGACCTCAAGTGATCTGCCTGCCTTGGCCTCCCAAAGTGCTGGGATTACAGATGTGAGCCACTGTGCGCGGCCAAATTATGCACTTTAAGTGGGTAAACTGTATGGTGTGTGAATTGTATCTTTAAAAGGCTGTTACCAAGAAACTCCAAGCTCTGCTGCTCCTCACTAGCCATGTGACCTTGAAGAGTGACCTCACTTCTCTGAGCCTCAGTTTCTTTATCTGTAAAATGGGCAGGATAAGAGTAGCTGCCTCAGGAGGTTGTTGTGACGTTTTAAGGGAAGGAATTATGTAACTAGTTAGCATGGTACTTGATACACAATAAACCCTTGATAAATAATAACACTAGCTAGTGTTTACTGAGGGTTCACTCGTACCTGGTACTCCGCTTAGCTCTTAGGTCCATGATCTCATTTAATCCTCTAACCACTCTCATGCCAATTGTGTAGTGGAGGAAACCGAAGCTTAGACAGATGAGGCAGGGATTAGAACCCTGAAGTTTGGGTTCTGAACCATGAGACAGTCTTGGTTTTTGTGTAGTTTTGCTTTTATGTTTGTATGGCTCTTTTAAATCATTGTAACCCGCTTCATTTGAAGGTGTTGGGCTGCACACCCTGTAACGAAGTTTCATTTACCTATCTACCTCCCTCCAAATCGATTCTTTCCCCTTCTCTTGTGTAGAATACTTTATAAGGTATCAAACACCCCCAGTGAAAGGCTGCACGAGACCTGGCATCTGCCCAGAGTGTAGTGGGCAGGGCCCACAGCCCACCCCTGTGAAGTGTTAGGCCTTTGGGAAGAAGGCCCAGGCTAGATGACTTGCTTCCAAGCCCCAGCGCTGCCATCTCCTAGCTTGTAGAGACCTCCTCGCCTTGGTCTCTTCATCTGCAAATACGCGGATTACGATCATATGCACTTGCCAGGGATGTTGGGAGCTTTTGCTCACAGGCTCTCAGAGGCCCCAGAGCCTCACAATCGACTTCTCCTGAGACCCCCATTGGCAGGGAGATGGCAGTCCTGGGGCTGGCCCACGCCCAGCAAGCTCCCCAGCCAGCTGTGCTGAGGCGGCAAGTGCTAAAAATAACAGTCACGTCTTGCAGGGACATAGGCTGACCCAGAGGCAGATGGGAGTCGGGGAGGAAGGGGTGGGGATGCTTACGCACCACCAGGACTCTCCACCTGCAGTGTGCCGATATGTGGGTGTGTATGGGGGATGATTCCTTTACCTAGTGCAAGGCCCCTAACTACAAAGGAGCTTGGTTTCAGGTCACATGGAGTGGACTGTTCCCTGCAGCCAAGGCAATGAAAAAGTCCTCTAGTGCTGTCCGGTGGAAATATTGCATGACCTGCATATGTAATTTTAAATTTTCTAGTAGCCATATTAGAAGAAAACAAGAAGCAGATGAAATGAATTTTAATATACTTTAATCTATCAAAACCTTTTTATCATTTCAAGATGTCATCAATATAAAAATATGAATGAAATATTAAATTCTCAGCCAGGCACGGTGGCTCATGCCTGTAATCCCAGCACTTTGGGAGGTCGAGGAGGGCAGATCACTCGAGGTCAGGATTTCGAGAGCAGCCTGGCCAACCTGGTGAAACCCTGTCTCTGCAAAAATACAAAAAATGAGCCGGGCGTGGTGGCGGGCCCCTGTAGTCCCAGCTACTCAGGAGGCTGAGGCAGGAGACTCACTTGAGCCCAGAAGGCAGAGGTTGCAGTGAGCTAAGGTCGCACCACTGCACTCCAGCCTGAGCCACAGAGCGAGACTCCATCTCAAAAAAAAAAAAAAAAAAAAAGGAATATTAAATTCTCTTTTTGATACTAAGTCTTTGAAATCTGGTGTATATTTCAGACAGAGCATCTCAATTTGGATCAGCCACATTTCAAGTGTTGCGTGAGTTTCCTGTGGCAGCTGTTACACATGATCACAACTTAGTGGCTTAAAACAGCACAGATGTATGATTTGGTACTTCTGGAGGCCAGAAGTCTGCAAAGAGTCTGATAGCTAAAACCAAGGTGCTGGCAGGGCTCTGGAGGGGAATTCATCCCTTGGTTTTTGGTTTGTTTTTTTTGTGTCTTTTTTTTTTTTTTGAGACTGGAGTCTCCCTCTGTCACCCATGCTGGAGTGCAGTGGTACGATCTAGGCTCACTGCAACCTCCATCTCCTGGGTTCAAGTGATTCTCCTGCCTCAGTCTCCCGAATAGCTGGCGCGCACCACCATGCCCGGCTAATTTTTGTATTTTGTATTTTTAGTACAGATGCGGTTTCACCATGTTTGCTAGGCTGGTCTTCCTCACCTCAAGTGATCCGCCTGCCTCAGCCTCCCAAAGTGCTGGGATTACAGGCATGAGTCACCGTGCCCATCCCATCCCTTGTCTTTTCCAGCCCAAAATCCATGGCTCATGGCCCCTTCCTCCATCTCATCATTGCAATCTCTGCTTCTTTTGTCATTCTCTCTTCTCTGCCCCAGACCTTCCTGACTCCCTCTTTAAATGACACTTGTGATTACACTGGGCTCATCTCAGGGTAAACGTGTCATCTCAAAATCCTTAATTTAATCACATCTGCAAAGTCCCAGGAAAAGTAGCATGTGCGGGTTCTGGGGTCAGGACGCAAACATCTTTGGAGGGCTGTTATTCAGCCTACCCCTCCTGCTGACTGTGGGCGGAGCAGGGCTGTCCTATGGAGCTGCAAGGAGACCCCTGGGCCAGAGGAGTGGGTACCAGCATTAGTGTTGAGTTTCTGAAACACCTGACTGCAAGTCAAACAGGGATTAGGTTGTGCATAGTAACAACCTAACATGCTATTTACGCAGGTTCCACACCAGTGGGAGGAAAAGGGGTGTATGATCTTCTTCTGGGCGCTGGAGACGTAGGATTTCGTAGAAACAGCCTTGGAGGTGCATGGTGCCCAAGTGAACATTCACTCATTATGGCCTCCTGAGTGTCAGGCTCTGTGCTGTGTCTCGTGGCAAGGGGTGAAGAGGCTATGGTTCCCGCCATCTCACAGTCCAAGTGTCATTTTCTTGGCAGGGTGATGGAGGCCTAATGAGGGGAAGGGACTCACTTCAGGTCAGATAGTGATTCAGAGGCAGAGCCAGGACTAATGGGAAGAGGGTGTTAGGGCCTTGATTTATGGCTGCCTTCCTTGGGCTGCAGGCCAAAGGTTAAGATGATGGTAATGGTAGCAGTAGGAATAGTAGGTACCATTTATAAAGCTCACACTACGTGGTTTCTGCTGAGTTTTTGTCATGTGTTGGCTTGCTTCATCCTCACAACACTTCTAGGAGGTAAGAGTTTATCATCGTCATTTTACAGATGGGGAAACTGAGGCACAGAGAAGTTAAATAACTTGCCCAAAGTTACACAGCTGCTAAGAGACACAGCCAAGACTGGGACTAGACTGTTGGATTCCAACTCATGTGCTCCTGACTAAATGTAGGTATGAGGCTGGAGGACATGGTCTTAAACGACCGGCATGTACTGACCCAGGAGATGCAGCTCATGGGGTGTGTGGAAGCAACTCATGGCCCTGGGAAGGCAGGCGGGGCCAGCTTCTAGCCCCCCATGAAGCAGGAACCAGGGCTGAGAAAAGATGTTCTTAAGACTCCCAGGGAAAAAGGGCCTCCCTCAGGCCCTTCGTGCCCAGATTCTGACATGGCCAGTGTGGAAAGAAATCACTTGTTTTAATAATATTGATACCAACAAGTTACAGGGTGCAGTGGGAAGGGCTGGGAGCTGTGGTCAGAAGACCCAGTTTCTAGGCTGGGTGCGGTGGCTCATGCCTATAATCCCGGCACTTTGGGAGGCCGAGGTGGGCAGATCGCCTAAGGTCAGGAGTTCGAGACAAGCCCGACCAATATGGTGAAACCCTGTCTCTACTAGAAATATAAAAATTAGCCAGGCGTGGTGGCTCATACCTGTAGTCCCAGCTACTCAGGAGGCTGAGGTAGGAGAGTTGCTTGAAGCCAGGAGGCGGAGGTTGCAATGAACTGAGATCACGCCAC